AGTAGAGTAACTTAGCAGAATAATTTTGATTGACAAAAGATATAGTTTATCTTGAGACAGAGACAACTAAATTTGTAAGAAAAACAAAGGTGCTAAAAAAATCAATTAATCTATTGAAGTTGCTTTTAGTTGTGTTAAATCTAGAGCACATATCCTCCAGTTTTTAAACCTAAAAATAGGTTTTTTCATCAAAAAAATAACATTAAACATTATAAGTAAGAAAGACTTTTAAACATTAGTTTAACTCAATTACTTTTACAAGACATGGCACACTAAGTTAATGTTAATATTAAACAACAATTTGAGTTTTACCATCTTATTGTTGTTCCATTCTATGGTGATTCCTCTAAACATCACTTTCATTCATAATGATGAAAATCTTAAAGAGTAATGAACAATTTGGTCATAAAACTTTTGAAAATAAATAAAAATCAATATTTTTCTTCCCTCTAGAATATATCACAAAAATCATTCTCAATTTATTCAAAAGACAAAAACTGATATTTTAATTAACAAAACTAACCTATAAATTATAGTGCAACCAAATAATTGTGTAAAGAACAATTACCTAATGGAATGTTAATTATGAAAAATTCAACCAAATTGCAATTAAAGAAATAATGTCAAAAGTGAGAAGCCATACTAAGTGTGTATTGTCAATGCCTACAATAAAACATATAGACAATTTATATATATGTTAGATAGTAATATGTCCTACTTCATGTTGGGTTATCATTTTATACTATTGTAATAATATATAACAATGGCAAGCTATAAAAATGCTTAAATGCAAAACACATAAGTAATTGAATTGAATTTCATAAATTAAAAGTTTTCTCAATATTAAATTTGTAAAGGAAAAAATATGTAACCAAACATAAATGAATCAAAATTTGGGATTAAATTGAAATGCTAACATTTGACCAATAGCAAATTTTTCATAACTTCAAAATTCTTTAAAGTTCATATGAATATCCTTTTTTTAAAATGTACAATAAACAAATAAGAAAAACTACAAATCTAATCCTTAATGAATTCTAAAAAACATTAGTTTGAAAATCTATCTTTGAAATAGTAAAATTACTTCATAATACCCAAGCCATCATCATCCTTGTTGCTTATAATAGTTTAATGCTAAAAGGAAAGATGTCCAATTCTATTTGTATTTTACATTTAATCAAATAACAAATAATAAAAAATTAGAAAGAAGCACAATGACAAATTTTAAGGAATAAAGTCATAATTAAGCAAATTGCTAATAGATGTAATAGTCTTAAAAATAACATATGAAAATTTATAAATGTACAACGTATACAGACATGGACACTTAGCCATACCTTTACATCCATATATGACCACAAAAGTGTATAAGTAGAAAGAGACTACTATATATGTATTTAACTGATAATATACATGTAAATATACACAAAAATGATATGAACAAAATCAAATAATCATATTCATAAGAAAGAATCAAGCACAAAATAAAAATAGTCAACTTTCAATTTTAAGTATTAAGTTATTAGAAATTAATACTCAGTATCTTAATAGTCAAATTCTAGTAATCACAACTCAGATATCAATCATTCAAAATAAAGCAAAGCTACCAAAACCTAAAAGAGGGGTACTTCATATAAACCTTTTATACTTATTAATATAGATGTAAAATGTTAAATACAATCCTAAATACTGAAGATATAATAAAATAATGATAAAAAATGCTATGTTATTCCTCCAAAAACTTTTAAGAATTTCTCAATTTTGCTCCAAACAAGTAAGGCAGTAAAAAAAAATATCATTAAACATAAAAAAGAGAATGTTTAAGAAAAAAAGTACTAAAAACAAACTTTGTTTAGTTTGAGAAAATCTTTTTTATTTTTATTTTTATTTTCATTTTTTAGAAAATAGTTTATTTTGTTTTTTATTTTCTAAAAATGTATTTGGTAAATGAAAGTAAACAATTATTTTTTAAAAATGTAAAAATAAGGAAATAAATAAAATATTTAATGATATTGCAAATAAAGGCATCTAATTATAAATATATATATTTTTATTGATTAATAACATTAAAAAATGATCAAATATGGTAACATGCAAAACATAACGAAAAAAGTAATGTATATCCCTTGTTTTCACAATCGAAAACATCTTTTTTTGTTTTCATACTTTAACTCTTTTGTTTTTTAAAATTTGTTTCATTTTCAAGTCTTAGACATGTTTTCAATCATATTTTTCATTTTCTAAGGAAATTAAAGCAAAAAATGATTTTGTTTTTTAAAACCAAATACTATCTTAACTTTTTATTTCTTCCAATGTATCCAACAAATATAAGTAATCTTAATTTGAACAAACTAAGGAAACCCTAATGCTATAGTTAAATAAATAAAAGCAAAAAATTAAATCTTAAATTCTTATTCCAAAGACTTTTTAAGTAAAATGAAAGAACTATTGATCACAATATTGAAAAATATGAAGACCAATCCTCCAAACAAGCCATACATCATAACATTTATAATTATAATTAAAAAGATAAATACACGTTTTTGAAATTCAATTGACATGGAGAACCAAAGGTGTAATAGAGGAAAAAAACCTTAAAGTTTACATGAAAAATTTTTTTGTATAAAGTGAAAATAATAATTAGAATAAAAAATAAAATTATAAGTATAAAATCTAACATAAATAGGGTATCATAAAATTAAGGAAAAAGATGTAAAGCATTTGAATCTTTTCATCTTTAAAATCCATCTTTAGTTGGACTTGGAAAAATCATAACAAAATAAAATTAAATATATTACATGTCATATATAAAGCATATTAACAAAAACAAAGATTAAAAAAATATAAAATGAAATTTTAAGAAAAAAATAAATAATTGAAGAGGAAAAGCAAGATTGAAGCAGAAAGGATGTTGTGAAAAAAAAAATGTTACTTTAACTAATAGGAAGCACAACTTTGAGAAAAAAAAATCCAAACTTATTCAATACAAATGAAAATTTCTTCCTAGTGCTAAGAGATCATGTTGTCTTTCAATTCAATTGCACAGAGAGAATCAAATATGAAAAATAAATAAAAAAATCATGGAATAATATAAAAAAAAATCTTACTGATCAATATAGACACTCAAATGGTAGAAGAAAAGAAGTAAATCGGGTTCTTACTATATCTTTTTCTTTTTCCTCGCTATTTTTACACCACCTCTCCCTTTACCTCTTTTGGGTTTTTCTTTTGTTTAAGTTAATAGAAAAATGATAAGGGAGGGTTTGTTAGTATTTTACAAATGATGCTTTATTTTTTATATATTTCGATTTAAAAAATAAGAGTGTGAAAGAGTTGAATATCATATACAAAATTGTTTTTGTGGTTTTTTTTTTCTCTCAAAATGGATAAATAGGAAGGAGAGGGAGTCTAGAACCTTTTTTGTCTTTTTTCTCAAATTTTTAATCATTATACTTTTAATCATGATATGTCACAAATAACTTTAATAAAATAAATAATAGACAAAATAAATAATACATTCTCTATCTAAAAAAGGATACACATTGCAGAAGTAAATGATTGGAGAAAAACTTAGTTCTATTTGTTTTGTTGAAATTGACTTTCAAAAAATATTTTTTGGAAAATATTTACATTTTCTGAAAAAAGTAAAGATTTTTTGTTATTTGAATGAGTTAAGAAAAAATATTTTCTGTTATTTGATTATTTTTAGAAAAATTGTTTCTTTTTTGAAAAAATATTAGTATAACTATTAAAATATTAAAAATTATTTTATTATCAAAGTACATTTAAATTATTTATTATTAAAATTATTAACATTCAAGAATAAATTATATTTTAATAATAAAATTTAATATTAAAATATTATATTAATATAAAATACTTAAAATAAAACTATTTATTATTCTTTATATTATATTTTAAATATTTAAAACAGTATTACTATTTTTAAAATATTATTTTTATTAATATTAAAATAATAATATTTATTATTAAAATATTTATATTTTATATTGAAGTATCTATTATTAAATCATAATAAAAATTTTTTATTTATATTTTATTAAAATAGTAATATAAATACCTTAATATATAAAAATATAAAATTATATATTTTAAAACTAAAAAGTAATAAGAAATTATTTAAAATATTCATAGTAAAAAATTATTATTATATATTATTTATTATTAAAATAATAATATAATACTATTTATTATTGAAATACTAAAAATATATATGTTTAATAATATACAAAATAAAAATATTAAAATTGAAATATAAAAGACTTTTAATGTTAATATTTTAATTTTTCAATTAAAATTAAATAAAATATTTTATTAATATAATAATATTTTAATTCAAATCAAATCAGTTTCGAATTTAACATATTATATTAAAAGTTTTACTTGAATAAAATTATAAAATATTTAAAATCAAAATATTAAAAGACTTTTAATATTAATATTTAATTTTTTAAGTAAAATTAAATAAAATATTATTTATTAATATAAATCGGGTCAAATCAATTTTGAGCTTAAAAAAATGTATAAGGTACTATTTGAGTAAAATTATACTCAAATATATTAATAAATAGTTTTTTTCATAAACAGTTATTTTTTAAAAATTATTTTTTCCTTTTCAAAAGTTTAAGATAAATTTCAAAAAAATTACCTTATTTTTTATTGATCAATAAATTATTTTTCATAAATAAATTAATTTATTATCAAATAAATACATAAAAATAAAAAAATTTATTTTTCGAAAATAATTTCTTCCGAAACAGATTGAGCTTTATATGGCAGTTAGATGTTATTACCAAAATTATTTTTATTAATTCCAAATAAAAAAATTAAAAAAAAAAAAAAAGAAAATGTGCTTCTTAAAATAATTTGGGCTTGACAGTTTGATCTTTAAGCCACAAGGGAAAAAAATTATTAAAAAAATCCTTTTTTTTAAGAGAGGCTCTACCGCTTCTTTTTCTTCTGCTATCCTTCCTAAACACTCGAACCCAATTTCAATTTATATAAACAGAGAAAATGATGAAATTAAGTTCATCAATCTCCAGCGTTCGCTTCCTGATTAAATCTTATCCCTCCTCTTTCTTTCCTTCATTCAAAATTTCCACCACTCTCAAAACAACTATGACTCAATTCCCTAAGTTTTCTATTCAAAATACACATTCTTCTCCCGCCAAGGACTCCCAGGTGACGCCGCCCAAGCCCAAACCCAATCCTCCGCCTCAGCAGCCCTGGCTCATTGTCGGCCTGGGTAATCCCGGCGAGAAATACAATGGCACCCGCCACAATGTATCCATATGTTCTTCAATGCCTCCTCCTTTTGACAATTTTAAACGAACTGATTTTTTTAACGATTTTGTTGATTTTTGTTTTTGGTTTTTTCAAACAGGTGGGTTTTGAGATGGTAGACACTATAGCTGAGGCTGAAGGGATTTCTATTAACACTGTCAACTTCAAATCCCTGTTTGGAATAGGTTTTCTTTTTTTTTTTTTGGTTTTGTTCTAACTTTGAATTACTTTCACTGATGGAAGAGGTATTTGATAATCAGTTGTTAAACTAATAATGGAATGCTTAATGCAGTAGGATGGTTTTTACATTAGCTTTTGGTTTTGACTAATTTTAGCTGTGATTTGCGTTTTAATTGAAACTTTTAACTGATTGTTTTATAGACTGCTATGTTTAATATGGGTATGTGATTAAGATATTAATACAAAATGATAGAATAGAAAAACAGAAGAGAGTGTCTAGATAATGGAAACTTATTAGATCATGATCCCACTCCGCAGTTTGCCTTTGATTTGAATGATGGCAGACAGTGTTCTTTGTAAATTCAAATCTTCTTTCATCTTTTTGGAAAAGTGCATTGACATGATATAAATCATGCCAAAAACCTTCTCTACCTTAAGTTTCTTCAGTAATATTTTAAGCATCAATATAAATATTTTCATATAGCCTGCTTGGCCTGAGCATAGTTAATGATTAATATTGTGTAAAGATTCCATCTATGTGTGTGTGTGTGTGTGTACAGATAATGAGTTCATGCCTGATAAAAAAAAGTAAAAAGTTCAGTGCAGTGGAAAATGTGGGTAAATTACAAGTGAATTCATGTTCCACTTCTAATTTTTCTAGCTACAGTAGGTAGCTGAAAATGTCCCATTATGCAATATTTAATTGGAGATAGTTACCGTTTTCCAGGATCTATAGGAAATGTTCCAGTCATGCTTGTCAAGCCACAAACTTTCGTGAACTCAAGTGGTGATTCTGTAAGTAGCCATCTCAAAGGACCTCTATATTGTTTTTGAGGGTAAAAGCTTCTCTCATCTGATTGAAATTTCTATAGTTCTAATAGTCATTGCATGTTTTCTTAATACGTTTTGAAGGTTGGGGCCATTGTCTCATATTACAAGATTCCATTGAAGCAAGTACTTGTGGTAATTTTCTTTCTTTGGTGCTACTTAATGCTAATCTTCCCCTCTCTAACTGTTCCCTTTAACAAATTTTTAATGACTTAGCTAACTGTTACCTTTAACAGATTTTTGATGACTTAGATTTACCTTTTGCCAAATTGAGACTACTTCCAAAAGGCGGACATGGAGGACATAATGGGTATTTATTTTGTTAGCATTTATTATACTTGTCTTTAAATTTTACAGAGCTTATATCAACACTGATTTTTCAATTTCATTTTTGGGTTATACATATTCTATTTGTCACTTATTACCATCCTCAACATTTAGTCCAAAGATGCAGACGCAGACTAACTGTGAACTTTTACCAGTATTATTTACCATTTTAGTGCTTTGGCTTTTAAAAAAGAAGACTGCTGTGAACTTACAAATGCTTTTTTAACTTTAATTTTGATCATTCTATTGGACGTTATGATGTGACGGAAAATAAAGGGAAAGTCAGGTTTTAAGTTTTCATCCTTAAGATGTTTGGCTTTTCATTATTATATCAGACTTATAATGAAGCATAACACCTTCAGTTTTATATGTCTGAACTCTGATTCCAGCAATAAAGCATTTTTTTTCACCTTGAGTTTTTTTAATCTGTCTAATGATTGGCTGTATGATTGGTTGTTTTTTTTTATTTTCTTCCAGGATGAGAAGTATCATTGATCATTTAAAAGGGAGCCGTGATTTTCCTCGTCTAAGAATCGGTAGGCTGCTAAGAACACTAAAATAATATCTGAAATGCTGCTAATTTCCTTATTTACTGGTCGTTAAAGTTGTGGAACTTTTCTAGGCATTGGACGGCCACCTGGGGCTGGGAGGATGGATGTTGTTAATTTTGTTCTTGACCCTTTCAACAAGCAAGAACATGAAGAGGTATGTAAAAATATAAAACAACCATAGAGAAGAAAAAGGTTTAAAAAAAATGGTAATAGATTTTTAACTGTTTCAAGGTGATGATGTCTTTTTCTTTCAGCTGGAGTTTACATTTCAACATGGAATGGAGGCTGTCCGGATTCTTTTACTAGAGGGTTTTAATAAAAGTGCTTCATATGTCAATAGCACCAAAACAATAGAACAACTTGGTTAAATTATTACTCTAGTTGGTTATCTCTTAGGTTAAGCAGCAGATTGAGGTAATTTACAGGAGAATGTGATTACAGTGAAATTAATAATTAGGAACTAGATTAAATTTTGCAGGATGAAAGTATACAAGTTATTCGTAGAAATTTTTTCCTAGCTCCCTTTATCAATCGTTACTGATTTTATATGTTCATTTCTGTGAACATATAACTGCTTCAATGCATTAGGAATTAAGAATTTAGAGAGAACTCTTTTTGTCAAAAATAAAATTTTCCCTGACTGAAGTCAGATGTATTCTTTATAACTTTGTTTCATTTAGAAATCAAAATGGAAGATGTTCTCTTCGGTTTTGTGTTATTATTTGGATTGCATTTAAACAATTTCGGTGTAATGGAGATATTCAAGATTGGAGGTGTGCATTGATGAATGTAGTTGAATGAGATATAAGTATGGTTTTCCTATATTGTTGAAAACTTGAACAATTTTATGAAGCAATGAAATGTGTAAACAATCAACATTAATACAAAGAGCAAGGAACGTGATCCCAGGTCTCTCACCAAACATGGCCAATTACTATAATTTTGCATACATGGCAAGGATATCAGATGAAAGTTAGAAAGAGTAAAACAAGTTGTACTCGATGCAATTTCTGGTTACCCTATTTAAGGTTGGACTGTGACACCGTTGTTTGATATAGGCTTGGACTATAACACTTTATACATTTTTTTTCTTTTTGAGGATAACATTTTATATTTAAGGTTAGACATATAAAACTTTAAAAAAAAAAAAAAGAAGGTTAACCATATAAAATATTAATGAAATGTTGCTTTTGCCTTATTAACATTTGATTCAACAATAAAAACATGTAATTTGAAAACAAATACATGTACCTTTTTAGTCAAAAGTTCGGTTAGGATCTTCCTCAAATTAACCAAAAAAAAGAAGGGAAACATCACTGAAAGGAACATGGCGATAGCTTCATTAGCATTTTTCGGTATTTATTTGCACTTGCAGACTAAGACTAGAAGTTGGTTGTCTTTCAAAACCATAATCTAATCTAGAGAAATGAATTTGAAACAAAATCTTCACAACCCAATAAAATTATCCAAATGATTAGTCAACGTGTTAAATCCCAAAAGAGAAAAGGAAAATTTCTAGTCGCTAAAAATTATTGGATTATTGAATGGTTAATGATAATAAAAATTATTGAATTATTGAATGATTAATAATTTTTTTAATTTTTAATCTATCTATAAATTTTCATATCCTTACACTTACATGATTAAAAAAGATGTTATGCGTCATTTTTAATATATACCAATTGATTTTAAGAGAGAATGCTTTTATTTTGACTTTTGCTAAGTAGAGAACTACAGGTATGAGGTTTACTTTTAGTTTTGACAAAAGAAAAAAAAAAAAAAAAAAAAGCTTTTCTCTAGCCATTTCAGTACACCCAAATTATAATTACGATTTATATTCATTAATTTCTTATTACTCAAAAAAAAAAAAAAACTTATTTCTTATAACTCAACAATTTTAGAACGAGGCAAATATTTAATTTAATGATTAATGTATATATAAATATTTTTTTGTTTAAAGAGATTGATTTAAATTTTTTTAATATTAAAAATATTTTATTAAAAGCTTGAGTTGCAGATTTATTTCCAACTCAAAGAAAGATTAAAAGACGCTTGGCTTGATGAGGTTCAACTTCAACTTTTTAATATGGAGAAATGGCTTCAAATGTCAACTCCAAATGTACTTTAATAATGCGCTTGGTTTGTGGATTAAAAGGATAAAAATTAGGGCTGTGCAAGAAAAAAAAAGAGTATAATGTTTCAGATATTCTTGATGTACCTCAAGAAGAATCTTATAGTCCACCATTTGATACTCAATGTGCATTACAAATTATGATGAGTCAAATGAATAGCTTACACTCCATGGATAGAGATGTGAACTCAAAGCTTGAATATTTGAGTTAAATCAAAATGTCATGACTAAAGAAATTCGTCAAATGAGGATTGAGATGAACCAAAACTTCCATCATTTCTTACCTTATCCTTCTCCTTAATGATTCACCTTGATGCCTTGTCTTAGATGTTTTCTCTACATATCTATCTTTTTATGTTTTAATTTTCTTAAAGACATTTGCATTATGTTTTTAAACCTTGGTATTTGATGTTTATATTAATGATATTGCATTTCATTTTTATAATGGCATTTGGTATATTACATTGGAATTGGTTTAAAATTAATGTTATGTGGAAATTGGTATATTGATTTATTTGTGATGGCATTGAGTTACGGAATTAAGTTGATTTGATTTAAACATATATTGAGCTTTTTATTGCCTTGAATTGATTGTCATATTACTTTGATTGTCTTGATCTTTTTGCTATAACAAAAAGGGGGAAAAGTAATAAAATGAAAAATTGTTGTTGAAACAAGGTTTGCAACAAAGGATCATTTGATAACTTGCTCACTTGTTATAGAGGGAGTAATTCTAAATGGATATATGGATATTGCCTTATCTATTAATGATCTTGATATTGATGGTTATATTCTTGTTCTTAGCTTGTTTAAATTTTTTTGTACTTAAATTTAGGAGGAGCCTACTTTTCAAATGGAAAAATGTTTTTAAAGCAAATTTTTCACTTGATTTTGTCATATAAAAAAGAAAGAGATTGTTAGCTTTAAATTGATAAAAGTTTTTGACTTGACAAAACAAAAATTTACCTAACTTGAATCAAATTTATTTTATCTCAAAGTGAATTTTTTTTAACCTTCTATCTTGCCAAAAATTAGTTTTGAACTAAAGCAAAACATATTCTGGAAACAAAAATAGACTTTTGGACAATTTGGGATATAAGGGATCGATCATCTAAAAGGAAGGATCGATCCCTTCACATGACTTGATCGATCCCCTGGCTAAAGGGATTAATCCATTTTTCTTCTAGTAGCTTATCTCGTGCAAGTTTTTCAAAAATCAATCAATATCCTCCCTATAAGGATCGATTGGCTAGGTTTTCTAAATGAACTGATCGATCCTTTCTTTAAAGGGATTGATCCATTTTTTATCCAAAAGCAACATAGGTTTTAAAATTTACAAAAATAATCAATCTCCCTACACAAAGGATCGATCACCTAGGATAGGAGATCGATCAGGTCTCTTACCTGATCAATCGGGTAGTCTGATAACACATAAAATTGGTCTTGATTTTAACTAATCCAATCAATCCATATGTGAGGGGATTGATCTCCTAGTGCCCAAAAAGCCCTAAAAACTATTATTTTATTTTAAATTTTGTAGGTTTCAAGCATTAAATACAAGCAATGGCTATCGTCCTCTTTCAACATATAAATGAAGGCTTCCCACTACATTTGAAGAGTATAAAATGCCAAAAAAATTTATTGCTTCCATCTACTATCTTCTCCAAGCATTAAGAGCACTTTAATGTGACAAAAGTGCAAAAATTCTTATTGTATCATATTTCTCTTGATATTCTTATTAATTTTGTTTTGTGCTTCAAATTAGCAAACACTTAATCTTAAAGAGGTTTTTTTAGTTTGCAAAATACTCAAAAGCTTGTATTGTGAGATTGTGAGCTTAAGGGGGAAAACAACCCTTAAGAGATTATGGTGTTGATTATATAGAGCTTTGAAGAGCTAGGTTGTAACATTTAACATATAGTGGATTGAACTCTTTGGCAAGTGAGACTAAGGGAGATGACATAAGTGCCTAAAGGAATTATCGAACCTCTATAAATTTCAATGTTTGATTTTCTATCTTTATCTCTTACTTTTAAGATTATTAGTATACTCATATTTGTTATGTTTTTTTACTTAGAAAATTTGATTTGTAAAATTAGTGTTTATTGGATATTAAATCTTGAAAATTTTATTATCAATCAATTCACCCCCTTATTGGTTTATGTCAAGTCTTTGAACTAACAAATATGTATATACACCTGAAGAATTAATACCAAATCACTAAATAAAGCATCTTCAGCAAATAACATGATATATGAGTTTCCTTGAAAGCATCAGTGGGACATTCCATTCCTCTCGGTTTGACTATCTGAACAAGCACTTTAAGATGAGTAATCAATCCAAATATGATTTCTCTCTAGTGCTGGTGATATAATAAATTTGCAGTATTAAGTTTAATTTTTTTTTAATCTTTTATCTTGGAACAACAAACCAAACCTTGAACATTGTGAGCTACAAACAATGAATCACTAACTAACTTAACAACTGTGCTATAAATTCCATAAAAAAATTTCAAGTTAGAAGTAAGCAATAAGAATAAAACAATGCTCACAAAATTTTCATTGATTTGTTTCAATTTTTCTAATTTTCTTTTCATTTCACTTTCAGAAAGATTTGCATTCTACATGGAGCTTTTTTACTTGGAAAGTTGAAGGTTTCCCTCAATAGTAGAGTATCATCACATAAAACAACAAACAAACAGCTGAAAGCAAACTCTGAAGAATCTAAAAGAAAATTGGAAAAAGAAAAAAAAAACAAAGAACTCTTCGTACTAAAAATTCTCTTAGTCTCTCATAACGCTTTCACAATGATTTCCTAGCAGAGTCTATTTCATGATGATTTCACAATCGATTTTTTTTTTTAACATGCGGAAACCAAATAAATCCATGAATATAACTTTGCAAACACAAATCTACATATTGTAAGAAAACAAAACTCAATATCTAATTAAAAACCTAAGAGCAAGAAAGCATCCACCCATTGTATCTTTGTGATGAGTTGATACATCACATCTGATTTCAAGTGTCTCAAGATGAATTGTCCCAGAATGGACTTTGTCTAAGAACCAAAAAAGTTATACCTTACATTTCAGCTAGTTTCTCTCAGCTAGTACTAAGGATGACATGGAGACAGATTGGTTGAACTTAAGAAAACCAACAAATTAAAGAACCATAAAATCTTATCAAAGTCAAACCTAAAGGAATGTCAAGCATAATTTTATCCATATGTCAAGTGAAGTGATGGTTAAAAAGTAACCATGATTTTAAAGGCTCCCCTATCCGTAACATTCATTAATATGAATGATTAACAAATGAAGCACCAGTCAAAGTTTAAAACCAATATACAAAACTGTTGATAGGCCATTCTACAAATGAATGCTCCAAATAAAAAAAAAAAACTGCACAAAGTTTAAAACCATTAAATATCTAGAAGAAGAATTAAAAACTATTTGCTAACCATCCTTGCTATACACCAGTTTTCATGTTTCACATTAAAAAGTCATTAATCCATATGTACAACAAAAAATGATCAAATAGTTACACCTGAAACACTAATTATAAGGGTACAAAAATAAAAGGCATGAAATTAATTTCAATTGTGCAGTCATCATCTTATTGAAATACAACTATTACAACA